ACACTTTCTTGCGCAATACTTTCCAGCAGTTTACACTTGCTATCCACATTCAGTGTGTTCTTCCAAATTCCTCATTTCCATTTCCTTTCACCATCCTAAATTCACGCTTGTCTCATGATTCAGTTTCATGATTTCCATAATGTATGTTCTATCAACGTACAACATCTTTTCCTAATTTACTCTTCAGCTGCAAGTTCGTTTGTTCTCTCCCACAGTAGTAGTCTGTTGCTGATGGTATCCGACTAACAGACATTCAGTATCTTTCATAGACAATTGATTATAAACACTCGTACCTTGTTGATGATGGTATTTGTGTGGTATTTTTCCAAGTTTCATCCTCCCTAAAGTAGACTTATCTTGACATTCATATTGAAGATTATGATTTTGATATTTTTTGAAATTTGTTTTGAGTTGCATATGTTCTTCAATTATAGGAACTCTGTCTATGCTTTGCCAATCCTCGCCTTTACATCTGCATCAGATCCTCCTTGTTCATCGATGATGTTGCTTATCAGATACGTGAAAGATTTTACCTGCTCCAGAGTTTCTCCATGAAGTATGATTATTCTATAGACATTTCGATTATTTGATATTTGTTCCATATTAAAGTTTCACATAATTATATTAACTTCATATTTAAAATAAATTATTCTTAAAATATTACAATGAGAGATGAACATCCTTATTATTAATGTGAAACAAATCAGAAATAGTGTTAAATATTATTCCTAATCATAATTTTATAAACATTACCGTGAATACACATTGATGAGGAGTCTCATACAAGGACGAAACGACCATCTAATACTTTGCAGCTTTCCATAATAATCTAGTTTCAATTAACTCATAAATTCAATTATTAAAATGATCAATGTTTGACTTATTTCGATTAAATGGCATAATAATTATAACAACAACAACAACAACAAAAACTAGACATTTAAATGAATTAATATTCTATTATTATTATTATTATTATTATTATTATCAGCATCATTATAATTTATTCATAGTTAACTTGTTCTTATAAGTATTATTGAACATTCAACTGTATTTGTATATCATAATCCAGTTGTTCTGTATGGGAAAAAAAGTTTTCTTTTTGTTTTAAAATTCCCACTATTTTTCTCTTACTTGAAACAAAGAAAGAAAAAAGAAGAAAAAAGACCGGGAAATTTAAATATTTTAAAATTAGTATTTATAAACTTTGATTGTTTTGTCGGTGTTGTTGTTGATATTTTCATTGATACATTCAATAGGTGGTCTAAAATAGACCAAACCATTTCATAGTAGCACCAAATATTATTATTCCACATCAATGAATTAAATGAAACACTTTAAAATATTAGAGAAAAAACTTTTTTTTAAAAAAAAGAAGAAAAAGAAAAAAAATTATTTTTTCAAAATAAAATTCAAGTTTTATTCAAAATGAATTTCTCCCTTTTTTTAAAAAAAATTTTTTTTCCCACTGAGTTATTGAATGATGAATTTAAACTATTATGTAAATCTATTTGGGTTTTTTATTATCTTTTTTGTTCTAAAAAAATGTGAAATGTATCAAGTAAGTGAAGCATTACAATTTTTACGGAGAGAGAGAAAGAGAGGAGAGAGAAAGAGAGGAGAGGAGAGAGAGAGAGGAGAGGAGAGAGGAGAGCAGAGCAGAGAAAGAGGGCGAGAAAGTATAACAACAAAATAATTGATGCATAAAATTAAAAATGCCTGATTTTGATTATGAGGTGTGAATACGTTTCAATTTAATTTAGTTTTTTTTTTTAGATTTTTGATGAATTTTGTTGCTGTTGTTGTTTTGTTTCTTTGTAGTATGCTTTTCAGGGGTTTGACATATTCAAGAGATAATTTTTTTTTCTAAAAAAAAATGTCATTTTTACACTAAGTGTTACCTCCCCCCTCCCCTCAAAAAAACAAACAAAAAAAAAGAATAAAATGTAATTACAAGTAAACATTTCCTATGGGTACATAAAATGTTTGGACCGAAACTTCATTTAGTTTATGCTTATCTCTATAAAGGTAGTTGAAATATAATTCTTGTTACCTGTACTATTATCTAAGTGTATTATTATTAACTAAATGAAATTAGTTCATGTAAGAAACTGTATAGTATCACTAGTGTTTTAGATGTAAACTAAACTATAAATACATGTAAACTGTATAGTGTCTTATCATTTTATGCCTTGTAGATAAATAATAATATTTATGGTAAGGACTAACTCCCGATATTTATTACTAGGCAAAGTAATACTATATACAATCGTTAAATAACTAACTTTAAATCAAAAACAAATATACATTTTATAGGCAGGAAAGATATGATAATGGTATAAATTCATTTGGTATTGTTTACTTGAATCTTCTTATTGATCAGTTGCGGTCTTAAACATCAATTGGAAGATTGAATAAATCAATATCATGTGAATTTAAACTTCACCACATTTCACAAGCAACTAACTATCAGGACTCAGTAGCTAAGTGGATAATGCGATGGCGTTTAAAGTGAATAGTACAGGGTTCGAGTCCCAGAGTGAATATCAACTCTGGGATGCAGGTTCATTCTGTTGACGAGTTCTAAATATGACGAGACGCGTATCCTAGATTCCACTGTTAGCCATTATTCATCTTTGATTAGAATGCTTGTGATTTAAGGCAATATCGAGGTAATACGCACAGTATGCACATATACTAATAAGAGATTAACCAATTGCAGTCGTAAACATCAATGAGATTCAAGTAAACAATACCAACTGCATTTTCATGTTCGTTCATCTGAATAATTCATTAGTCATGTCTCCGACCTTAAAACTGTATGATATAAGGACCATTACTTCACCTAGTATTGTAGATACGCTTTGTTCATGAATGTCATCTGTTACTAACCTAGGTCCAGGGTTTTGTATAGTCTACCTTTAGCTAATTAACATAGAATAGATATTGTGGTGAATATCCATTAAACTTTTATAGAATGTTATGAAATGGCGATGATAAAAAAAATCTATGTATTTATATTGTATGGGGTCATCACACCAGCAGAAGAGTCAGAATACTTAATTATTGATTCAAATCAAGATAACAAATCATAGTGTTTCATGTCAATCAAACTTCTCAAGAAATCGTCATTTGCAATTTTATGATTCATCATTAAATTTGATATTCACCGATTACTTTTTTCGTCATTCAGGGAGATTTATAAAACGAAGAATCCAGCACAAATTTAAACTGACCCAATTCGCCAAACCAAATCATTACAGTAAGATAAGAATACCAAAGTGATTACTGAAGAAGTAATAAAAAAGGATAGCAAAAAGATTAGTTAGAGAAAAAACGGCCCAAAATACTACTAAAAGAATGAAGAGATGGTAGGCGATAGTTATTTGATGGGGAAGATTGGTCAGGAAACTTATAAGTGTTGAATTGACAAGTAGTAGCTCATGAATAAGTTGGATGTTTGAAAGTGGTTGATTCACAGCCATGTCACACAGTATCACCGGTCATTGTTTAAGATAATCTTGTGGGCCATAATAAGGTATTCTGTACTAAACAATATTGCTCAGTCTAACCGTTGATGACTTGAGAGAGTGATGATCTGTTATTATTTACACACTAGTCTAGGCGTTGACACGAACCAGCGTTGAAGTAATGTTTTAGATTAAGAGGGGTGCTAGCGTATTCGAAATAATTTTACATTGCTGTCCAAGGAGAATAGAAGACTCAACATTTTGTCAGCATCTCCACCAAATACGACTATGTTATCTAAATATTCCAAGGTCAAAAGTGAGTAATCCGTTAAGAGATAAACCTCTGAAAAGTCAGAACGAGAAAGCTGCAAATCAGGATTGGGTGGTAAGCAGTTTAACTGTTTCAATCTTTTGTTTTTGTATTAGGTTACAGTTTAGTCTTTTTCGTAAAGAGAACTACCAGAGTTTTTGATAATTCTAAGTAATTATGAACTATTCATTATTGACTTTTTTGTTGTTGACTTCATTACCCACCAATGATCAATATCATTGTGTAGACTTATTATTGGTCAAATTGTAAGTCATCGTCTCCACTCACCATGTTTGGTTATTGATTGACCAGACAACACTGAAAAAAAAATATATTACTTACACCTGTTACTCCCAATGGAGCATAGGCCGACAACCAGCATTCTCCAACCCACTCTGTCCTGGGTCTTCCTTTCCAGTTCTATCTAATTTTTGTTCATTTTTCTCATGTCTGTCTCCATTTCTCGAGGTAATGGGTTCTTTAGTCTTCCTCTTATCCTTTGACCTTGAGGACTCCATGTGAAGGCTTTTCTCAATGTATGTCCTATCCAATCCTATCGCTTCTTCCTGATTTCTTCCTACACTGAGATCTGGTTTGTTCTCTCTCAAAATAGATTGTTACTGACCAACGAATCCGAAGTATTTTGCGTGGACAGCTGAATAAATATATGTATATATTAAATTACATTGTTTGAATAGGATAAGAATTTTAGCTATATATAAATTATTTTTAGGCGGTAATTTAAAATTTATTGAACATTAATTAAATACTATCATGTTTTATCTATGGATAATTAGCCATTGTAGATACTAAATATAAATACTGGTTAAAATGTAATAAAATTGACATTTGTTATTGAATATTATATGTTTTACTATTCCAAATTAGTTTGATTCATGTACCATTTCTTTCATTATGTCATAGGTTTGTATAATCCACATATATCTGACTGAAAAAGCAACGAAAGAAACGTTTAGATAACAGTAATAACTTTCAAACATTGCAATTTGTCTCAGATTACAAAACACACTGGTTCTTAATATTCGACAAATTGATAGTGTAAATCTCTATGAATATTTCTAGTTTATTAGTTAATGGAATTAATGAGAAATATATAGTTTATGTTTATTTATTTTCAAAACATAATCTGTTATTCGGATGTATTTTTATATAAATAAATAATTTAAACTACATGATTGATGAGAGATAACCTAGGCTATCTATTCCATACACACCAACAAATGCAGATGAAGATAACTAGAGTAACAACAGTCTCTAGTAGTAGTAGTAGTAGTAGTAGTAGTAGTAGTAGTAGTAGTAGTAGTAGTAGTAGTAGTAGTAGTAGTAGTAGTAGTAGTAGTAGTAGTAGTAGTAGTAGTAGTAGTAGTAGTAGTAGTAGTAGTAGTAGTAGTAGTAGTAGTAGTAGTAGTAGTAGTAGTAGTAGTAGTAGTAGTAGTAGTAGTAGTAGTAGTAGTAGTAGTAGTAGTAGTAGTAGTAGTAGTAGTAGTAGTAGTAGTAGTAGTAGTAGTAGTAGTAGTAGTAGTAGTAGTAGTAGTAGTAGTAGTAGTAGTAGTAGTAGTAGTAGTAGTAGTAGTAGTAGTAGTAGTAGTAGTAGTAGTAGTAGTAGTAGTAGTAGTAGTAGTAGTAGTAGTAGTAGTAGTAGTAGTAGTAGTAGTAGTAGTAGTAGTAGTAGTAGTAGTAGTAGTAGTAGTAGTAGTAGTAGTAGTAGTAGTAGTAGTAGTAGTAGTAGTAGTAGTAGTAGTAGTAGTAGTAGTAGTAGTAGTAGTAGCAATAGTAGTAGTAGTAGAAGAGGGTGGAGAAGGAGGAGGAGGAAGAGGAGAAGGACACAAAAGATAGTTGTTTTTCAGAAATTTGAGCAACTTCATTGATATCCTTAGAAGTTTACTTATCTATCAAGAAAACTTACTACACTGTATGCTTAAACGTTTCCATTAATCGTTAGTTTAATTCATAATCATCTATTCACATTTAATCTTATAGAGTCTGTGAGAATGGTAAGTCAATAATGTAACTATTGTTTACTTAGCAAATGACTTACTTTCTCAGGACAAAAAGGAGTTTTTTTCATTTCATCTTTTAGTTAGAGAAATACAGTAGTGAGAATCGAATCACTTTTTTTTTCATAGAATAAATGAATTTATTACTATCAATAGAATTCAGGAACTAATCAATATGGTAATTCAAAACCTTTCTCATATTAATATAAATATCTAATAACTTATACAAGGGAAATACTTTCTTGAGTCATTTACTCAAATGGATAAGTTGTTGATTATTTGAATTAAAATCTATCGGATTCGAGCCCCGATGTGAACATTAACACCTATATACGAATATATTCGGCTGACAAGTCTTAAATAACGTGAAATGTACTTATGAAATTCTCAAGTTATTCATAAATACATTTATTCTGTAAAATGATTGTATTAAAACAATCAATACTGAATGTATATACAGAAGCAACGAATGATCTAGATTAAATGAACAGATTCAACAACGGGAAGTTTTTCCCAATGATAATATACCTAAACATTTTTTTTTAACAATACAAAACTTATGAATTTAGCAAACATAAAAATAACCAACGATCTAATAAGGAAAAACCAAATTATTCAATTACTAAAGAATTCTGATATTCTAATTTTTGTCAGTTGGATGTTATGAAATGATTGCAAAAAAAGCATTATCCTATTAAAACTACCGGATATCAATGACAATTTCATTGTACTTTGTTAGGTTACTAAAAATATGCAATTGATTTATTAATTTTGATGTAACCCTTTTCCTTTCTGGAACTTTATTTGATAGTAAGTTATGTTTCATTCTTTAAATCATTGTAAATGAAGTTTGCAAAAACATATTGTATCATACTTAATTCCATGTATAACCATTTTTTCTACTATACAAGTTAATATCTCCAGACATGTTGAAAACCAAAAAAATTCTGTAAAATAAAATTAAGAAAGTCATAAACCTGGATACCTAAATGTGATATCATAAATTAAACTTAGTAACATAACGACTATTTAAAATTATTTGACAATGGGTTAGAAACCAAGAACAAATCTAACAGTGATATTTAATCACCATTATATTCATTAAGATATACTTTTTAATCATAAATAAGTTTGAATAGTATATTTTCTTATTGATTGTAGTTTAACAAAAGATGTTAAGATTGATAAAAGAAAACAGCAACCTAGAATTGATTTACATTACAAAAACTAATATCCATGACACAAAGTGTTATTTCAGATTCAAATGATTTGAAGATCAATAAAATTATTTAGAAATTATGTCATTTTATGACTTAGGGGAATGTGATCATTTCCAATTCTTTCTCTCTTTTATTTATAATTATTAATTTCTAATATGGGATTGTGAAGATTATTAGGTTTTAGTTAAGATCCTGAACCGATCAATGTTAAACCACTATTGGAAACTTGACAGCGAATAACAATCGTTTCACTCTAGTATGAAACTCTTCAGCAGTGTAAATTTATTATTTTGCACGCGAGATTCAGAACCAGAATCTTTGGTCGCGTGTTTTTAAACGCCTAACATTTCGGACCACTGAGCCAGTATGTCTAACTCGAGGTTTCTAGTGGTGTTCATACATTGATTGGTTCGTGATATCATTTAAAATTATTAATTTGCTCACTTAAACCCTTATTTAGTTGACCTTGATTAATTTTCACAGAAAATTCCTTGACAAGTATATGTATGACCGAATTGATCAAAATGTTTGGTACAAATTCATCAACTCCGTCTTCTCACTTCCTAATCACAATTTATAAAAACGACTAATGTCTATTTCATCTAGTTTCAATGTTAGACCGGTACCTTTAACGGATAACTAACATTTGATTTATTCAACGGTACAATCGACAGGAAATGGTAGCTCTTTCGTTATTGCATATATAACTATTTACTTAATACTTGATCAACACTAATGACATTGATCTTTTCAATCTATAAAATTTTAAATAACAGAAATTATCATCTAAAATATTTCAGTTTATCGAATGCTGTGCAAGAATCTATAGGCATGAATATAATTTAAAGTAACCAAATGAGAACATGTTTGTTTTCTTATTTATTATTCTTCAAAAACAGATACTTGCTCAAATGACTGAAATGTTACATTATGTCTATGAATAACAACAATTCTAATCATGAAATGTATTTGAATAGTTATGGAATGAATATCTAACTATCAAGTGAATACTTTACATGGATAAGTTAACACGTATAATTCACTTATGATATTAAATCATAGTTGACAGTAGTAGTATTGCAGTGAACAAAGACTTGGTGGTGAATAACCAATTTATTGTTTATTGCTATCAGAAGGGGTTTTTGTAGATATTATAGTAATTTCACTAGTTAATCTCATGAGTCATTTGAAGCCAGACCACCATGGACCACCAATGCTTCCAGGTTTTCCATGTTCGTTTAGCTTCAGTTGACTCATTATCTCAACTACTCAAATTATTGTTTATTGCAAAGTTACACAGTCTTTCGTAAAATATGATAACCATACATTAGACGCATTTTCACATCTTCCTTCAATTGTCCTTAACATACTTCATGATTCTTTCAATTCTGTCGTTGTAACAATCACTCTCCGTTCCTATTCTTGTTCTCTTCCATTGAATCGTCTCAATCTTTTACTTTTAACCATCTCACTACGGATAGATGTTACACATTACTTATATCTACCAACATAAGTAGTATAATTAGGGCCGATCGAAATAACTAATTCAGAAAAGGCTATTTCCTATCGAATAAAATATTACCTAAATTCATGATATTTAAGTAAATTATTATAACTTTAAAAAAAATCTTTATCAGTTCTCATTTATGAAACGTATAAACTTAGATATTACAGGGAAAAAAAGAATCTATTACATCAAAATACTCATAAAGTACTTTGTATTTTCAGAAGGGGTTTTGTAGAGATTTCAGTAATTTCAATAGTTGAAATCATCAGTCAATTGAAGCTAGACCACCATGGAATACCTGGAAGCACTGGAAGGCCGTTTCGTCCTAGTATGGGATTCCTCAGCAGTGAGCATCCACCATCCCACCCCCTGCAAGATTCAAACCCATGACCTATCAGTCTCGCGCGCGAACGCTTAACCACTGAACCACTGAGCTTCAATTAACTCATGAGTTCAACTATTAAAATTACGTTGTATTTTATTTTAATTTTGGGGAAAATGAAAAGAGAAAATCTGTTTTTTATAAAGTAATAATTGTTTTACTCTTTTTTTGTACTTCACTGTGTACTTTTAAATATATACCAACAAAAAAACAACATTTATTCATTAAAGTTATAATAACTAAAATGTATTCATATTTATACAATAGTGTATAGTTTCAAACTGTGCAAGTACTGTCATTCATTCATTCATTCATTCAATGATCCATTGTATTCTAGACTAATGTATAATGAATTGTATTCTTGACAAAATATTGAAATTATCATGCATATTAATAAAAGAATTTCTAAGCAAACATACATATTACTAATAAATCTCAATTCAAAACACTTAAAATAAATTGCATATTTAGTTTACAAATAGTTTATGTCTAATCTTAATATCTAAGTATTTCATGCTGTTTGTCAACAGTTGTATTTGTGTAAACCAAATCTATCAAATATTTAACTAATTTTCTATTGTTCATCTATTTATAAAAACTAAGAGTTTACCTGTTCTATTATCTATAGAGTAGTCTTTTTTTCTCTTTTTTCTTTTTTCTCTTTTTTCTTTTCTATTTTTCTTTTCTTTTTTCATTTCTTTTTTCTCTTTTTTTCTTTCACAAAATATGTCACAACTTTTTAAACTGACAATCATTCCTTTTTTTAATTTTTTTTGTTTTACTTGCTAATTGGTCATTTATCTATAACATTTTCGTATGTTTGTTAAGTAGTGAAATATTTAAGTATAGATAATACGTATTTTTTTCCCCCTTTCCTTTTACATTTGTCATTGAAAAACAAATACAAATGCAAACAAAAACCCAGCCAGGACAAACTAAATTTTCTAGACAAATTTTATTGTAAGTCTACTTAATGTTTAAATGTTTCTATTCAAATATTTTATAGAATATCAGAAGAAGGGGGGGGCGAGGTTTGTACAACAGAATAAATGTATCCATAATTCTGTTCAAACAAATTATTTGTTTATGGTTCATATTGTAGATTAGCATCATTGATGAACACGGTGGATATGATGCAGATGGGAAGGCGTGGATCGGCAAAGTGAGAACAGCATATCTAAATAGATAAGTACCAAGTGGATTCTCAGTAAGATATATCAATTCAATGAGTTCTAAATAGAATGAAATATACATTCTTGAAGCCCCCGAACGCCCTGGTACGGCCGAGAGTGGGGAGAGTCCCCTCTCCCTCTCGAAATACTCTCACACGGCCGCGCGTATACAGCCTCTGCCAGGGAAGTCCTACTCATTGCCTTCTCGTGGCGGGGGTGTTGTTTACGAAAATGAGAGGACGAAAAGCGAACGTCCGGCGCTTTAACCGGATCACAAACCAATGGTGCACATGGGCTCCAGTATCCTGCGGGAACAAATGGCGTATGAACCAATCGTTGGTCACCGGCTACCATGGGATTGCATCTCCTCACGATGTTCCACTGCCTTGTGGGTTAGACCATTAGGTCAAAGGCTCGGGGTGTGGCCCCCTAAGATAACCACCTGCTTCGGTTTGGGCACCCGGGCAGTATCACAGCCCACACACAAACAATGAACTCTATGATTACGGCAACTACCTTTCTCGATCTGATAAACAATCAATCAATTCAAATAATTATCATTACTATTATTATTATCACCATTATTA